CTTGTGGCAAGCCGCAATCGTGTCAGCATGCTTTATCTTGAGTGTGTGTTTTCGTGTTTGTGCCACTTCCCGAATCGCCCGGGTCGGCACCGGCACCGCGCTTGGCCCACGAGCGACACGGGTGCTCCATAGCTCGGCGCGGCCAGGGCGGATGGATTTGAAGGAAAAGGACGCTGGCGAAGAGGATTGGGTTACATTGGGATACATAATGGATACAGTAATGGATATATAAATATATATATATACATGTTTTTTTATCTTCTAGGTTGGAGGCCATCGTTTCTACGTTTTCTTTCTTTCGACGTTTCATTGACACATCGGGACACAGGAGGGGTTTTCCATCAATTTTTCCTGACACGACGGCGACTCCGCTTCGAGGCACAAGGGGGTCATTCTGCGAACGCATGCTGAGGCTGTGACCCAGACTGCGCACCGGCGCTGGTCTTTTTCTGTGTCGGCAGCCAAGCACTGTTTACGCCTGAAAATTCGGAAAAGAGATGAAATATGTTTGCAATTCTTCCAGCATTGCAGCGTGATGCTGTGGCCAGACCCCCTATTTTTTTGGACTCCCCGGAAATCGCACCTCTTCGGGGCCTATTTAATAGAAACTACTATGAAACCCCAAACAGGGGGTCCTTTGGATGCCTTTGGTCGATACCAACGTTGCTTCAGGTCTGATCCACCGCCAACCTCGGGACGCAGGGACCTGCTGTGTGAACAAGAAAACTGAAAACCAAGGATGCCACACGCAGAAGCTGCTGCAGATAGGCATGCAAAGCGGATGGGAGACATCAAGGAGCAGGCAGAAAATGATGGAAGATCCATTGAAGCAACTCCAGAGGGAGTCAGATCCGAAGAAAAGGATGCCAACTAGACAGTTGATGAAGGAGATGAAGCTGTGGACGGTCGCAGTCGTTGATCAGCAAAGGTACGACATTGTCCAGGAGCCATTGCGTTTTCTTGGCACCTGTGGAAGAGTGGCGCATGTTTTTTCCTGATGTATTTGATGCCAAAGTTTGTCAAAGCCGTTTGGGACATTGCTTCCCAGGTACGTTGTCTTGCGGTTTGCATTTCAAGATGTGGGCGATGTCATGTCCCTGGAAATGGCCTCAACCGTGAGGCAGCGCGTCCGAAGAGTTCGCATCGGCGACTCGGCCGGTGTGCCATGGCTCGACACACCTCCCAGGTGGCGCGTTGGAAGGAACTGTCCCATCTTCACCTCTCACTGGGGGCTCTTGACTCGAAGATCTTGAGCGCTTGTATTCTCAGCTATGATGTGGAGAACGATTATCATATATAGCTGCGACATTCAGTACACGGTTCCCATTGAAGAGTGTCCAGATAAGTTGCATGCTTGCACGACCTGAGGACTAGGACTTTTTCACTCGCGGACGCTGCGTATCCCGCATACGAGGGACGGCTTTTCGTGGCATTCCCGACTCCTCCATAGACTTTCAAATCTTGTCGTATCTCATCCGTCTGGATGTGGGACAGAGATTGGACGACTTGCATGAAGAACTGGCAGGTCGATGCCGGCGTCCAGTGTCGGACTACTTCACTCCAAATAAACATGTGGCATCTGATCATCCCAACGAGCTTTGTACGTCCACATTGCCTTTGCAACAGGTTCTTGAGATGCTCTCTGAAGGTACGAAGGTTTGGACGAAGTGCCTTGCGGCCGTTGGCCCCAAGCGAGACAAGGCAGCCGAATTCTTGACCTGCCGGATCCAGGATTTCATTTGCTTGCAAAAAGCTTTGGATGAAGATCCTTTGGCTTTCTTGGCTCATACTGCTTCAGACCCACAAGCCAAGCAAATCTCGATGGATATTCTTTGCTCCTGGCTGGTGCTTGAAGACTATCTTCCACACCAAGCGCATCCCAGATCCCACGAGCTCCTGGAGAGAAGGTGATGCGGTCCTCGTGTCGGAGCGGCAGACGGCCAAGTGGCACGGCTGGGCCCGAGGACGACGGCTGCAGACGACCGAGGAATCGCGGAAGAAGGAAGGCCTCTTTCCGATGGCAGTTCTGAGACCTCGTCTTTGGATTGCAAAGATTGAGACGAAAAAGGAGAAGTGAGAGAAGGGGCAAGAAAGAGTTACTATGTTTATTGAATGCTTTTTAAATGATTCGCCCAAGACTGTAACACTGTGATCCTTATCATATATGATCATATATATGAGATTGTTTGCAACTCGGAGGGTTTCCTCTCCCCCGGTCTTTGATGCATGGCCGCATGGCCATCCTCGCGAGTGTCGCCTGAAAAGAGGACCTGGCCCAGCAACTGGGCGGCTTTTCGGAGAACTTCACCGTGCTGGAGGCCTCACGGGACGGATGGCCTCACATGTCGAGCATTCATATGTGGCCATGTGGCCAAAGCTTCAAGACACGTCAAAAATCAGATGGAACATGGTCGAAACTTTGCGGAGGACGTTCACCTTTTTTGGGTGGGATGGTCATTGGTAATGATGCATCGGAGTGCTGCCAAAAGGGTAGGCCCGGGGCAGCCCCGGGGTTGTCTCAAAAAAAGAGGCCAGGCGGCGAGACCGAGTCATGCATTACATTGTATCCTTTGATGTCCGATTTTACTCTGCCGCTCCGCAGTCATTTGGGACCCTTTGAACTGCTGATCAAGGAGAGTAGGAACAACTATAGCTAGCAATTAGTCTTTGAAACTCTCGGGTATCTCCATGATGACTGCCGACCAGTTTTTGCGCACGATTTTTGCAGAACACTCGCTCCACATGACCCCTTGCGAGGTCGGCTCCTACTTTGGCTACACCACTCGGCTGCTGAGCCACCTCTTCAAGCGGGCGGGAACCTGAGTAGATGTGCGTAGAAGGTATTTGCTCCAGCTGACAGAAGTTAAGGACTGGAATAGACGACCTCAAGAGACAAGGACGATGTTGTATTTGTTGCGGATAGTTGTGTGGTGTTGTGTGGAACATTGTGACACCTAGGAACCCAGTGCCATTCAATTCATATTTGGGGTGAACACAGAAATCCATTCTTGCACTCGGCCATGCCCTTAGGAAGTGTATGAGTCGCCCCAACCTGGGTGTTGTATTCCTGTTGAGTCAATGACTCAGAAGTTCCCAAGCTTGGGCTGTTGTAGCCCAAGAAAAACCGCAAGACGCCCCAGAATTGAAGAAACGATATGATCGAAAGCGGCTTCCAACAACTCTTCTTGATTTCTGGGATGTCTTCCGAATCGCCAGGACATATCAGCATACTATGCGCCAGGCATAGTACTTCTCTCTTTTTCCTCGCTTTTCTGTGGATCTCTTCTTCCCCCACAATGCCCAGGTCATCGCTCTGGACGCAGTGCATGAGCTGCTGCAGGCGTGGGACAACGAGGGAACCAATGGCCGGATGGACTGACCGATGACGTGGGAGAAGTTGGATGAGGGGAAGATTGATCGATTCATATGGATCTTCATATCGGTTGATTCACGACTCAGATGTATATATCTCGTTTAAAAAAGATAAAAACACACACATCGTACAACATGAAATGTTTAGTATGAACAAAAGAAACGTCCTGATTCCTGATTAGTCATTGTTGAGTTTCCCTGACAGACTGAGAAGGGGTAGAGTGAGTGGTAGAGTGTCACGTTCTACTGGTGGGGAAAAATAGCGTTCCCTGAGCTGTTTCGTTGCCTTATCTCATTAACCAAGACGGATGATCACCACCCAAGGATAGTCCTTCAGTTGTGTGGGATTTGTTGGACCCGAACATCCTTCAGGTTACTCCAAGTTTACCGAGAGGGACTTGGAAAAAACGTTAAGGCTGCCGCAGCCTGCGTGATCGTCACATGGTGCGAGGCCAATCGTGAGTACAACATGGACAGGGACAACATCCTTTACTTGAGGCGCGTGATCAGTGGGTCATTTGGGGTATGGTATGTAAAAACGATGATATGGACAGCATTTGACATGTCCAGTTTGATCGATTTCACGTGCGTCGTTCATGTTTGCCGTTGATCTCGTGCTTGACGAGAATGCCGAGATGTGTTTCACAGTCGACCGATGGTTACCTCAGAGCTGTTCCAACAAAACGAGAGACCAACATCATCTTTCAAGAATCGCAAGCACCTCACGCTGACAGTCATGTTGATCATCACTGTTAATTGTATTTATACAATACAATACACCTTAAATGTGTTTATGTTTACATCTTACATCATCTTACCAAGTCCGTGCAATATTTCCATCAGTTTCTCCAACAGCAGGAGGCCACGAGACTTAGTTTTAGTCTGCAGGTGGGGTGGAGTTGTGGGGAAGCACCTGACACTGAGTCACCGAAACCTACAACTGGAACAGCTTCGAAGCACGACGGACATCGCTACACTGACGGGTGCGAATCGATGCGGGATATTATTGACATCCCTCATGGTGCGTGCAGCCCAAGGTACACGCCCAAGGAATCTCTAAATAAAGGTGTTCTCTTCTCACCACATCCTTCACGCCGAAAACTGCGGGGCTGGACCTCAAAGAGACGGAGGCAGACCCAGGACGAGCTGTAGGTCACTGAAAGCACCAGACTTCACTGAAAGCTGTCGAAATCCTTTGATCTTCCAAATGATGAATGAATTGCGCGCTGCAGAGAGGCATGACGTGTCCGGAAGTCTATCGTGCATCGTCAAAACACGAATGGCATGCTTCAGCGGCGGAATCGCTGTTGGGCCCCGCGGCGGCTCGCTTCCGGAGCCGCCCGCCAGCGCCAATCTGCAAGGCCGGATGGCCAGGCTGTCCAACAGAACCGCCGCACGTAGCATTGAACATCATTGAACTAAAGGAACTTTGCTATTTGCACCGCCCAACCTATTTTGTGGTTGGCTTGCTGTGCACTTGCACTGCAAAGAAGAGATATGTGCACCTGGTATTTGATTGCTTTGGTTTGTCCTTACTTGGCCTGCTGTTACACTTCACACAGCAAACGAACAAGCGTAACTCGTATTTGGTTGTTTTGTTTGCCTGTATCTCAGATCCTCTTGCGTGCTTCCCCACTCATGCGGATGAGCCTTTTCGTTTGTTGGTCATGTTGGTTTCGCTCTTTTTTGGTCAAGGTACCAAAAGATGCCAGTCAATGGATCGTAACGGGAGTTCAGGGCTTCAAAACAACTGCGAGCCAAAGTGAGCGTTGTGCCCTTGGGTATTTTTTTGCTCTGGCAGGCGTAGGGTAAAGCCGGTGTGTAAGCCATTGCCGGAGGTTTCACACCGGAAACCACGCTGGGGCACCTCAGCCGGCGCTGGGTCCGTGAGTGGGTGGTGTTCTTTTGGGGGTCACTCAAAGCACAACGTTTGACTATGTTCGGTGGATGCAACCAATCAATGTTTCGTCATCCTGACCCAAGTTCACCTCCCGAGTTTTGACCCGTCGGTGAATCGCCACAGCCCATGTTTCTGGATGTGTTGGGTACTTCGACCCTCTTGCGAGAGACAAAAGTGGATGTGTTCATGAGGTCCGAGAGCTGGCTCTAGGTTCAATTCTGACCTGTCAAGTTTGGCGAAAAAGACAAAACAACAATTCCCTTGCGCCAGAGTCGGATGTTCCATCCAAAGAATTCCTGGGGGGAAACCTCGACCGGAGAAAGATACGGCGAGTCAAGTCAGGTTGTGGAACAGGTTGGTGGTGACGGGCCCGACATGTTTTGGCTGTTTTCGAAGTCCAAGGACTGGAGCATCTTTTCGATGAACACCATCCATGCGGCTTGGCTGGTCTGGCGCATGGTTCTATGTCTCAAAGTGGGCCTGGCCCACTGCCTTGAAGGCGTTTGTGTTTGCAAGAATTCTGGAACGATTTGTTGATATTTTTGGGCGGAACCATGCTAGGGATGGCAAAAATCCTAAATCCTAGGCCCTAGGCGAAGAAGGTTTGTTGTCAAATGAGATGCAGATCTATTTTGTTCAATGATTTCCTTGGTCTTTCGGCCAAGACCCTTGTAGGCCCTTGTAGGCCCTTGTCCGAAACGAACGAGATCGAGCATGACGAATCCGTTACCAAGGAGACACCGGACACCGTGTCTCGGGTGCGGAATACGAGACACCGCACCGAATACGTCGGTGGTGAGGTGGTCTTCCTTGATGCCTCCCACGACTTCGAGAGTGTGCGGAAACCTGACGGACCATGATGACGGACCTGGGTGCGGAATGATGATGACCATTGGGTTCTTTTTTTGGTTCAGAGGCGAGTAGTTGTATACCCACTAATGCCCATGTTAAACATGCACAACACAAGCTGAGGTGTTCACTATTCACCCCAAGAAGTGGTTGAAAGATGTTGAACGAATGTGTTGTTTTTCCCTTTGAGGGGCGAAGGACGCGAATGACCTGCTCGGGCGCTCGCATAAGGTGATGCAGGACATCGACAACTGCCTAAGGATTCCCACTGCGCGAAGGCCCAGGAAGAACATGGCAGAACCCAGCACCTCTGAGCGGATGCTTGTGAGGAGGGCCATTCCAGGGCAATTGAACTCCAAAGCCTTGGGAATTGGTGGGGTCAGACTGCCAAGAGGACGCAATGCTGTTCGAAGTATGGATTTCTGGTAAAATCTTGACCATGCTTGTGGTAATCATTTGTATTGGAAGCCATTGGAATCCCTCTTCTACGGGTCTAAATGGATCTCTTCCAGCAAGAACAAGAAAATTAAAGTTCCAGCTGCAGGGGGGTTCCCGGTGTTTGTGGATCCTGAATGAGGGCCCCAGGGTGAGCCATGGTTTTTTGCCCACTAGCATATCGACATCAACCTGGGCTCAAGATGAGGTCAGCCTGATCATTTTCGATGACTACGGCGCAGAAGAGGGAGCTGGGGCTCCCAGAACAGGCCAACTGATCCGTGGGGAAGACCAAATTCACAAGGAAGAAGTCCAAAAGCATTCAGCGGACATGTTTTTCAGTTCACGACTGGCCGAAGAACTACCCTTCTCAATGGTTCAGACTTCTACCTGTGAAATCAACCGAAGGTAAAACCTTCCGCAATCTTCCGCAGGTTTTCTCCCCTACTCTTACTCCACACCATTACTCAAAAGGTTTTGCTGAAATCCCCCGACCCAAATGCCATTTGACTGTGGGACGTTGATGGAGGAGACGAGATGCTGCGAGTGAGGTCCGTTTGGCGGTTCAACGCTTCATCAGCGCTAAGCGCCTGCAGCCAGCCAGGGCCTAGTCCGTTGATTTGGAAGTGGTTGGCGGTTGGAATAACATACGGTGTATATGACTATATGGAATAACAATGAATAACATACGGTGTATAAGAACTGGAATAACTGACTATATGACATATTGTGACATTATATATATGACTATGTATAGCTGGTTTGGAGGTTGGAAGGTCTCCCATGTCGCCCACGAGTTTGTGCGACAGTAAATCCCACTCATGGTGAACACTCTGTTGTTGTATCCCGAAGAGTTCTGACATTCGACATGTAGTCTAGGTAAGAAAGCTATACAATCGGTTATCATAGTGTAATGATTTTTAAAATTTTTTAAATAGTATAATCATTTATAAAATACATACATTGCATACATATCCTTT